GGAAGGAAGGAAGGAAGGAAGGAAGGAAGGAAGGAAGGAAGGAAGGAGGGAGGAGAGAGAGAGAGAGAGAGAAAGAGAAAAGAGACTGGCTCCTGAAAAGGTAACAGGGACTAAAAATGTTCCAAGGAAGATGATAAACTAGATCCAGGCTCAATGCTTCAAGCAAGGGCCTGAGTGAAATGAAGCTTCTCCCAATGACCTCAATATTCTTTCTTAAAAGAGGCTTAAAATACAAAAAAGCCCTGCTGTCTACCACCATCTAGAGCTATGAATTTCACCTGCCTAAGAGCCAAGGGAGACTAGCTGTGGACAGGGTGATAGCCTCAAGACCAAACATTGTTAGCTTTCTGATGAGGTCTGTGTTATCTTCAGTATCACAAGGACAGAGCCTTTAAAATCCATAATAAGGCCTGGTTCTGGTCTGGGACTCATGTAGGCTAACCTAAACCCTTAGGAAAGAAAGAGCCCTGAAGGAGAGAGGGAAATCAAAACCCAAACAAAATCAAATCACCTGCTCAAAATGAGCCTGCAACCAAACTTTCAGAAAAACACTAAATTTGTATTAATTTTTTTTTTAATTCACCAAGATTACGACCCAGCAATGGCACTACTAGGTATTTATCTAAAGGATACAAAAAAGCTGATTTGAAGGTGCACATGCACCCCAGTGTTTATAGCAATACTATCAACAACAGCCAAACTATGAAAAGAGCCCAAATGAATTAAGAATGAATAAAGAAGATGTTGTATATATATACAAGGGAATATAACTCAGTGAATGAAAAGAATGAAATCTTGCAATCTGTAACAACTTGGATGGAACTAGAGTGTATTATGCTAAGTGAAATACATCAGTCAGAGAAAGACAAATATATGATTTTACTCATATATGAAATTTAAGAAACACAACAGATGAAACATAGGGGAAGTGAAGGGAAAATAATATAAAAACAGATAGGGAGGAAAAACCATAAGAAACCCTTAAATACACAGAACAAACTGAGGGTTGCTTAGAGGGGTAGTGGGTGGGGGGATGGGCTAAATGGGTGGTGGGCATTTGTTGGGATGAGCCCTGGGTGTTGTATGTAAGTGATGAATCACTGAAACCAACACTACACTTGAATTTAAATAAATAAACTTAAAAATAAATAAATAAATTAATTAATTAATTAAAATAAAAAATTCACCAAGGACCCATTCCGTGTCAAGCTGTGAGCTAGGAGATACAGCAGGAAGCAAAAGAGGCACCATCCCTGCCTTCACAGAACTTGTAACGTAATGTAATGCAGGTGAGGCAGATGACATTTAAATGTATCACCATATACTGTAGTAAGTAATACTAGGAAAAGAGCAGAATGCCATGAGAAAGACTTAACAGGAGGGACCTATTTCTATGGGGATCAAGAAAGGTCTACCTGAAACCAGGACAAGTAACCTGTGGCTTGCATCAGGAGTAAGAGTTAGCCAGTCAAAGAAAACTGGGAAGAACTTAACAGGAAGCTAGAACCAGGCATGTGAAAAGTCCTGACGCAGGAAAATGCTTAGTAAGTTCCCCAAACTCCAAGGTCAGTGTGGCAAAAGCACAGGGAGCCCCAAAGAGAAAGGAGGAGGAAGGCAGGGGTCAGATGGTGCCAAGTCTTACAGGCTTGGAAAGAAGTTATTACATTAACCCTAAACGCAGTGGAATATGATTGAAGATCTTGAAGCAGAAGGATATGACTCATTATCCAGCACTTAGCATTCACTGAAATCATCTTATTAGTTTACTTGTTTTCCGTCCAGTAGTACATAAGATCTAAGACAGCAGACATTTGGACTCTCCTATTGACTGCTTCATACTGGCATATTGTAGGTGATCCATAATTGTTTTTTTGAGTGATCAGATTATTTTTTTAAGATTCCTAAATAAATAAATAAATAAATAAATAAATAAATAAATAAATAAAAGATTGTAATGCAACTATGTAAAACAGAAAAGTTAGAAAGGCCCTAAGGGCCCATATTTTACTCCTTGGCATATGTTTAGAGATACTTTTGCACAAGTACAGAAGAGAGATATACAAATGTAGACTATCGGATCAATTATGAAAAAAAAAATTAAAAACCATTTCAATATCAGTCAATAGAAAAATAAACAAATTATGATCTCTTGTTCTGATAACATACTGTACAACAATTTTAATGAATAAACTAAAGCTACTTGTATTAACATAAACAAATATCAAAAACGTTAAGTAAAACAAATAACCTATAATCTGATATCATCTATACAATACTACTAATATTTAAAAACAATACTAGGGGGCGCCTGGGCGGCGCAGTCGGTTAGGCGTCCAACTTCAGCCAGGTCACGATCTCGCGGTCCTTGAGTTCGAGCCCCGCGTCGGGCTCTGGGCTGATGGCTCAGAGCCTGGAGCCTGTTTCCGATTCTGTCTCCCCCTCTCTCTCTCTGTCCCTCCCCCGTTCATGCTCTGTCTCTCTCTGTCCCAAAAATAAATAAACGTTGAAAAAAAAAATTTAAAAACAATACTAAACACTATGTATGAATCCAAATACGTATCAAAAGTATAAAGCATAATGGGAATAATAAACTCTAAATTTATGTAAGTGGTTACCTCTGGGGAGGAAGGGAAGAAATGGCATCAGGGAGAGGTATGGAGGAAGCTTCAACTCTACCAATAGGTTTCTTTCTTTAAAAAAAACAAACAAAACTGTGAAGCAAAATAGTACAATGTTAAAATTTTATAAACCTTAAGGGCATATTTACATCTAAATGTTTGAAGTATTTTATAATAAAAAGTTTAAAACCCTTTTTTTAAAAAATTTGGGGCGCCTGGGTGGCGCAGTCGGTTAAGCGTCCGGCTTCAGCCAGGTCACGATCTCGCGCTCCGTGAGTTCGAGCCCCACGTCGGGCTCTGGGCTGACGGCTCGGAGCCTGGAGCCTGTTTCTGATTCTGTGTCTCCC